GACCGGCGTCTTTCTTAATTTTTAAAAACATTTAAACATTTAGCTGGGCTGAGTGGTGTCCGTGCACCTTCAATCCCAGCACTTGGGGAGGCAGAGGCAGGCAGGTCTCTGTGAGTTCCAGCCTTGTTAACAAAATTGAGTCCAGGACAGCCAAGGCTACACAGAGCAACCCTGTCTAGAAAAACCAAACCAAACAAACGAATAAAGAAGATAAAAACACATATTTTATTCTTTTTTCTGTGTGTTCGTGTGCCGTGCCTCACATGTGGAGGTCTGGGGACCAGACTCAGGTTGGCAGGCTTGGTGAGAAATACTGCCAGAGCTGTGCTGGCCACAGTTAAGCTGCTGAACCATCTTGCAGGCTCCCAGATCCTCTTTCTTTTCTGATTCTGACCTTTGCTCAAGGTCAGCAGGTCTGAGGACATCATCTGGCACTCCAGACTGACATGCTGACACTGGACAGAGCCCCCTCCCTCTCCTCTCTCATCCCCTTCTCTGCCCCAGGTGCCCCTCCCACCTTGAGTCTCCACACATCTGTTCCTTCGCTTATCTAGCAGACTTTAATTAAGGCACTCACATGTGCCAGAGGCTAAGCACACAGCACCAGCAGTTGGAGGTCACAATGGAAGGGTCCCCAAAATGCTGCATTGCAAAAGGGGCATCTATCCCCAAGAGACCGAACCATTTTCAACATGAGCCATGTCCCAAATTGGGACCTACTTGTGCTATTATGAATAACGCTGAATTATTATAATATGTAATTATATGGTATGTCATTACATAATATTAATATTTTGTCTTTATATTACTAACTAGAATACATTATAATATATAACACCTACCGGTGTTATTCATAGTAACCTTGGGTCTCAGTGAGTGTTCTATTGCTGTGAAGAGACACCACGACCAAGGAAACTTATTGCAGAAAGCATTTAATTGGGGGCTTGCTTAGAGTTTCAGAGGGTCAGTCCATGATCACTGCGGCAGACAGGCAAGGCACTGGAGGAGTGGTTGAGAGCTTACTTCTTATCCACAAGAAAGAGGCAGAGGGAGACAGGACTGGTACTGGCTTTTGAAACCCCAAAGCCTCACCCCCAGAGGCCTAGCTCCTCCAACAGGGCCACTTTCTAATCTGCCAACATTCACATGAATGAGACTATGGGGCCCATTCCCATTCAAATCACTGCCGTTTCCTTCGTCATGGGACCTGGTTGCTCTCAGCCATGCAACTTCGTGCCTGAACACAATACTAGCTTGCCTACACCAACAGGTCAACAAACCAGAGATCGTGTGCTGGTTTCTGGGACCGCCATCACACTCAGGGTCCTACACCGAGCTCCAGAGCTATTGACACATTTCATTGCTTGGAACTGTAGAGCTGAGGTCCTCAGTTTCTAGATGCCATGCCCCATTCCTGTCACTGACTCTCTCTCTGAAATGAGGCAGTTTGCTTCTTCAAAGCCAGCAGGATGGCAGCTCTGTTGGCCAGATCTCTCACGTCAGCCAAGCCTGGCCAGGCTAACTTCCCTTTGAGCAATTAAGAGTTAACTAATTAGGGACCTTAATCACATCTGCAAAATCCCTTTACTTTCCCCAATGTGGGAGTACAATCCTAGTGTGTCACACATGTTCCACCCACATGTGAGGGACATGTATTGCACCGGATCTGTGCACTGGGAACCTTGAGCTGGTGTCTCCCTTTGCCTGCTGGATGCATCTCAAGAAGCATGTGTGACTTCCCCCGTTGGTCCTTCAGGGCTGCTGCAGCTGTTGGAGAAACCCTGAACTAGCTACCCGGGAAGGATGAGAGCTCATCAGGAGACAAGAGGACCACCGGTCAGCCGTGGCCTCTCTCACTGTAACGGTGACCCTGGACAAGACCAGGAAGGAGAGCCATCAGCCGGGCCCAGGTGCCACGTGGAACAAGGAGAGGGGATCCATTCTGACAGCTCGGAGCCACACTTGTGTGTCTCACAATTCAGGTCGAGACTCCCTTGGGGCCACATAGGAGAGAGCCAGCATATCAGATATTTACATCAGAGCAGCAGCGATGAAATAATTTTACGATGGGGGGGGGGGGAGCCTCACGGTGACACGAGGAACTTCATTTAAAGGGTCGCAGCTTTTAGGAAGGTTGGCAGCCGCTGAGGTAAGAGAGCAGTTACTCTATGGGCAGCGGCTCGCACAGGCTAGGAGAGGAGTGTAAAAAAAATGAACATCAGAATGGCCGGCGAGAGGTGGAGGAAACTCTGCTCCCCAGAATGCAACCGTCTTCTCATTATGTCTAATTATATCACTACCGTATTCACTTCTCATACAGCCCGTGTGCTCCCGAGCCACAGGACAGGCTTTAGGGGGTGCCTGTAAAGTGTTTATGTTTTTGAATGAATTAAGACATAATGTCAACCATGAGGCTGGGCTCACAATTAAAAATATCAGACATAACCATTCCCAGAACGGTCAGTGACCGGAAGGTATTATAAGCCATTGAAAATTAAGGGGAGGGGATGGGGAGATGGCCCCTTCATTGGTAGAGTGCTGGTCACAGAAACATGAGGACCTGGCTTGGGTTCAGAGCACCCATGTAAAGGCCAGGCACAGCGGCCCAGGCTGTGTGTGTGTGTGTGTGTGTGTGTGTGTGTGTGTGTTTGTGTGTGTGAAGGCACGGACACTGAGGATCTCCGGGGTTTGCTGGCCAGTCCAGCTAATCAACACATGCTTCAGGTTCAGCCGAGAGACAAAATAAGGTGAAGGGTGCTGGAGAAAGACCCCCTGACGCCCACCTCTGGCTTCCATACGCGTGCGCACTCACTCACGCGAGAAAGAAAGGGAAACAGGGAAACAGCGGTGTAGAGGCGAGGGCGTGCGCTGTGTGAGAGGTGAGTGTGGTACCGCCGCGCTCACAGGTGACTAGATGTAGGCTGCTGCCATGGAGAGGGTGTTTGGGCCGATAGAGCCTCATAGCCTCGAGGTGCTTTTGAAGGAGCAGGAAGGCGAGCAGTGTGGTGTGACGTGATGACAGGCTTAAAGACCGGAGCGGCAACCGAGCGGCAACCAAAGAAGTGGCAGACAGCAGCTTCTAGAAGCCAGCGGAGGCCAGGAGCTTGCTGCCTCTTCGGGATCCCTCAGCCTTGGCCTCAGCTCCATGCCAGTGACTTGGGACTTCCGCACTCCCGAGTGTGTCACGTCTAGCTGCTAACCCGGGGGCTCTTTGTTACAGCCGCAGCAGCCCGAGGCTACCTCTATTGTGGAGCTGTTTGCACTGTGTAGGTAGGCGCCTCCCAAGCAGAGCAGCCCTCTGCTCGCCTTGGGTTGGCCCTCATGCCAGCCAAGAGCATTTTCTCAACAGCATAAAGATCTCGAGGGGGGCAGAAGGATTCCAGTCAATGCACTTTCCACGCGTATCTACAGGGTTGCAGGAATGGAAGGCTGAGGTTATCGCTGGTGGATTTACACCTTCAAGAAATGGCGCTACAAGCGGGTACGGTGGCGTACACCTGGAATCCCAGCACTCGGGAGGCATGAGGCAAGCGGGTATCTGCGAGTTTGAAGCCATCCTGGTCTACAAAGCGAGTCCAGGACAGCCAGGGCTACACAGAGAAACCCTGTCTCAAACAAACAAACAAACAAACAAAAAAGAAAAAAATGGTGCTACAACAGAGACTTGTACAAACCCCCCCCCCCATCCTAATAAGCCGATCATGGAATCAAGAGACAATCCTGATTGTGTCCTACAAATCCCCATACCCGGATCCAGTCCCGCCCTAGACAACAGGTGAAGAGGGCGAAATCTGTGCTAATGTCCAATCAATATCATTACGGGAGGAAAACAATTCTTGTGTAAATAGTACAGCCCTATGGTGCTTAAACATTTGCATTTACAGAATGATACACCTGTATTCTACACGTGGGTGGTGTGTGTGTGTGTGTGTGTGTGTGTGTGTGTGTGTGTGCATATTCACGCAGGCCTGAGTTTAGGAAAAGAACTGGATAGAAGATCCTAATGGTTTAATGCCGGTTATAAACCGTTCACTTGTCGTTTCCTTATCTGTCTAATATTTCTGTTTGGCAAGAAGCAAGACCATTGGCCTAATGGAAAATACGATGAAGTAATCGCAAAACAAACGGCAATGGAAGGTCTGGCGAGGCGGGCTCCGTTCGCGAGGCTCCAGATGGCGGAGTCATCGCTGCAGCCGTGGGCCGTGGGATAGCGGCGTGGCCTGAGGCCTGAAAATCCGAGGAGAGGTTGGATCACGAGGGCGGGTTCTGCTGAGTGACCCAAAGAAAGCGCGCTTTGGACGGCGTCTGCGGTGCGGGGAGGGCCTCCTCAGAGACCTCTCCCACCACACTGTACAAACACCGGGGCCTGGCCAAGGTCTCCTTGCAGGTGTTGCTCAAGACCGCGGGTCGCAGACCTGGGTCATCACCGCCTCCACCTCCCTCTCCTGCGGTGGCGTTCTTTTTTTTTTTTTTTTTTGTTTTGTTTTGTTTTGTTTTGTTTTAACTCATCTGAACCGGTTACAAAACCACACTCCCACGAATCCATCAATAATGGATGGGGTGATGTATTAAAGAAATCCCCACAAGGGCCTGGCAAGGCTGCAGCGAATGCATTTCTGCTGTATCATATTTAACTGTTTGCAAACGTCTGCAGGAGGATGCCCAGGGCCTGCAGACTCCGGGGGTCGGGGGGAGGATCATCGCACCTCCTCACGGGGAATTGCAAGGAGGGTAGGGGGTGACAGAGACCCTGGGCCTGCAGGATGAAAGGGGGGGACGATGGAGGATCGTACTGCACCTCGCCCCGGCTTGGCGCTAGCCAAGCATCCATCGTTCTCCCTCCAGGACTGCGGCGGAGAGGACAGGCCCCTTTAAGAGCCAGCGCGCGCCCCCGCCCCGCGAGCTCTCATTTTCCCTAGCAACCGCCCCGGGGGAGGGGGAGGTCCTGGCAACGGCGCTCGGGCCCCGAGCGTCACGTGACGGCCCGCAGCTGGAACGCGAGCGCGCGCCCCGCCGAGCGCCCGCCCGCCGGGGGCCTGAGCGCTGGGGCGCGTGCGCGAGCGGTGCAGCACCGGCCGCGGGAGCAGGGAGTATTATGGGCTGTGGGTGCCGCTGAGCAAGATGGAGCTGTCTGCAGTGGGCGAGCGGGTCTTCGCGGCCGAATCCATCATCAAACGCCGGATCCGAAAGGTGAGCCCTCGGCCCGGACGGCCCTGCGTCCTCCCCCCCCGCGGCCGAGACGGAGCCCGCGGGCCCTCGGGGCGCAGCGGTCCCGCTAGCCCGGCTCGCTCGGCCGCCCCCGCGCCGCCGCCTGCTCGCGTCCCTGCATCCTCCCTCCCCACCCCCATTCCCTACATATATATATGTATATATATATATATATATACATATATATATGTATATATATATATAATTTTTTTTCTTTCTCTCTTTCTGTTTTTCAGGGACGCATCGAGTACCTGGTGAAATGGAAGGGGTGGGCGATCAAGTGAGTGCCCTGTGTGTGTGTGTAGGGGGGGGGGTGTCGGTGGCCCGGGGACCGGGGAGGCGACAGGAAGGCACCTGGGCCTTGGGCAGGGGGTGCTTGCTCGTGCCCTCGCGGTGTGCCTCGGCCCCTGGGGGGGTTCTCATCTGGCCTTTCTTGCACGCGTGACTCGGCAGGTACAGCACTTGGGAGCCGGAGGAGAACATTCTGGATTCGCGGCTCATCGCCGCCTTCGAGCAGAAGTGAGTTGGAGAAGCTGGCCGGTGGGGCGCCGCGCAGGGAAGCGGGAAAGGCGGGCCGGGCCGGGGACGGGGGCCCGGGAAGGGACTCTTTTTTCTTTTCTGTTTTAATCTTTGGTGTCTCTTGGCTGCAGAGAAAGGGAACGTGAGCTGTATGGGCCCAAGAAGAGAGGACCCAAACCCAAAACTTTCCTCCTAAAGGTAACCTGGCCCGGCCCCAGCAGCCCCCTCTTGGGCCCCCAGCCAGGGCGCAGCACAGGGCCTGCAGGGGAGGGACTGTTCCGCCGCTGCCTAGGCGGGCAGGCTTTTCCAGAGGGGCCCCAGCTGGGCAGGGGGTGGCTGTGTGTCCCTGACAAGTCCCTGGCAGCAGGCCGCAGCCAGCCCAGCCGGTGGGGCCTGGGAGGGGGGTGGGTAATCAAGAGATGAAACCAGGAACTTGGGGTGAGGAAAATCTGGTGAGCTCCTCCAGCCCGGAACACGCTGGCCTGTGTTAGGGTTTAGACTTGGAGCTAGTGACCCAGTATAGACTCACCCGGCAAGACACCGGGCCCCGTCTGCCCACCTCCCTTGGGGTGTATCCTGTGCCTTCCCCATAGCACTTGGGGGAGGGGGGGGACGACTTGAATCTGACCTTAGGTTACTTCAACCTGAGTTTGATCAGCCACACTGGACTGCTGGCTCTCGGGTCCCGAGCCTGTCCAATCTCGATACCTCGGGAGCTTCCGATGAAGATGAAGGGGGGCATGGTAAAACACAGCCTGTTGGGCAACGGGAGCGAAGAACTTCGGGGGAAGCCATCTTGGAGAGTTAGGGTGCCTCTTTTTGGTTTGCTGTTTGTTTTGTTTTGTCTTCTTATGAGGAAGGACAGAGCCCGGGAAGAGGGAAGCAAGACGACCCGGGTTGTCCGCCTCAGGCAAGGCTGCAGGTGGCCTCCAAGCCACCATAGTTTCCCTAAAGGACTAAAAGATGCCCCGGGTCTTCCTCCCACCAGATTTGGCACCAGAAAGACAGGAAGGGGCTCCTTGTAAGATGCAGAACCTCATAATCCGCAGATCTCCAAGCTCAGCGGGGGGCGGGGGGCGGCTCAGTCTCGCTGACTCGGCCCTCCCCCAGCCCAAGCACTGGGAGGGAAGGGTTAGCCTCAGACCCAACGCAGAGTGGGGGGAAAAACTGTCGGTTTCTGGCATTTTTATGGTTTTGTACCCTACTCCCCGCCCCTAGTCTCGGTGCATCTTCGGGATTAGGCAGCAACCTTAACCCTGACGCTTGCGGGTAGGAGGGGTGGGCGGAGCAGCTGGGAGGCTAGTGGGCTGTGTTGACAGTCTCTCAGCGCCCCTGGAGCGCCCTCTAGCCGTCAAGGCTGTAATCTCGCGCCTCTGTTCTCAAAATGCCCTTTTCTTAAAAGTTGTAGGTTCTGAGTTGCTTTTGGGCCCAGCAGTGCTGAGCCCTCTGCCCCAATCATCTCCAGTAATATTCTCAACATCCCAGCGGGGTTGAGAGTACTGCTGTCCTCCTTTCACAGATGGGAATAGCTTAAAGAGTGAAGTTGAACGCATCTGCCAGAAACAGGGCTGAGAGATGCTAGGGCAGGGCTCGGTAGGTAGATAGCGCCTTAATCCAGAATTTAGGAAGGGGCAGGACATCGAAGGATGCTCATGAAGGGATGCAGAGGTGGCGTGGGCTGGACCCGTCGCTTTACGGTTAGGGAGCAGTTCAGCAGAATGCACTCAGCACGTTCTGTAAGGAGCGAGGCTGGGCGTCCCGAGAGCCTTTTTGAGATTCACATCCGGGGAAGGGAAACAGGTTAGTAACTTGTCCGCCATTACACGAGCTAGCAGAAGTGTTTAGATGCTGTCTGCACTACTTCCCACACGCTGGGACCACCTGCCACGTCAGTGCAGTGAATGTGTTGGCCACGGCGGCTTGGAATTCACTAAGCAGGACCCAGGTCCTACTGTCAAAAAAAAAAAAAAAAAAAAAAATTTCCAACCCGGGAAATTTAAATTAATTAAAAAAAAAAAAAAAAAAGTGAGTATTTTCGTGTGTGTATGTGAACCATGTTCGTGCCTGGTGCCCCTGGAGGCCAGAAGAGGATCCCCAGAATTGGAGTTACAGGCAGTTATGAGATGCCCTGTGGGTGCTGGGAACTGAACCTGGGTCCTCTGGAAGAGCGGCCACTGCTCCTAACCTCTGAGGCATCTCTCCAGCCCGAGAGTCGTGTCTCACACAATACTGTTTAGGTGTTATAAAATAAGAGACGTTTCTCATAGACAGTTTGAAAGCTTGCTTTAGGAGAAGCTGGTTTCTCAGAAGCCTGCACTGGGCTGCCTCCAGATGTGTTCCAGATGCGTAGTCAGCAGGTTGAGCACAGGAGAGCACTGGGGCAGGGCTCAGAATAGCACAGGAAAGGCAAGTGAGCTTTGGGTAGATGGCTCAGCAGCTGAGAGTGTGTACGGCTGCCCCAAATACCTGTAACTCCAGCTCCGAGAGCTGTGACGACCTTGCTGGCCTGTGAGGGCATCTGTGTCATACATAACACATCGAAGAAAGAGAGGTCAGCGAGTTGAGGCAAGACTTAGAGTCAGTGAATGGCACATCCTCCCTCAGGGATGTTTCTGGAAGGGGGTATGAGGGACCCCTTTTGGAACTCAGCTGACTGGGGAAAGGAGCCCTTGGGGCTCCCTGTACCCACCTCTGTGCTGCCACCTAGTGGCAGTGAGTGACGACAGGGAGGCCCCGGCCTTGGTGTGTGGCGGTCCCAGACAGATTAACCATGGGAGTGAGCTCACTCCTCCCTCCCCCTAAAGTCTCCCAACTAGATGACGTCATCACAACCTAACCCAGTGCTTTGCCTCACTGGAGCTGGAGTGTCAGGTAAACCAGGACCCTTGTCCTGAGCCACAGCTGTCCACCCCCCCTCACACACGCACCGAATCCTCTCAGCACCAGGCGTGGCCTGCATGGCTCTGTCCCCAGCCCACGTCCCAGCCTGGCCTCAGAAACTGCGGTTCTTCCTATCCGCCCTCTGCTGTCCTCTTGCAGGGGATACCGTTCAGAGTAGAGCTGAGCAGCTGTCCTTCATTCTCAGTGACGGAAAGGCTAGCCATGGAGGAGTCCCCAGCTCCTCTCTGTTCTAAGTCTTCTGGCCACCGGTGGGCTGGAGTGGAGCTTGGGCTCTAAGGACCTTTCTGGGGTGGGGTTCTCTTGACGTAGCAGCCGAGCTACTGTTGAACCCTGGGCCTTTTCAGAGATCACACTTGCCTCTCCTCCACGATCTTGTGCCCACAAAGGGCCCAGGCTGGATTCTCACACTGGGTTCTGGTGTGAGTGCATTCATGGCTAAGATGAGGGCAGAGAGGGACCACGGCAAGGGCTTTTTAGACGTGATGGTCATTTCTGGTCAGGGTCAGTGGGGCTAAAAGGTAGGAACAGGAATGATCTACTCTCTGTCACCAAGAATTAGCCCTTGGGAGAGTCCCAGGCTTGGCTAGGGTCCCTGACATTGTTGCTGAGTCAGCAAGTGGCCTGTGGATCCCCCTCCCCCACACAGTGGTAGTAAAATACCGAGCCTTAACCTGGCCCCTGTAGACAAGTTACACCACCACCTTTCTGGACCGGCTTCCTTTTTTTTTTTTTTTTAGAAGAGTGTCATGTAACCCAGACTAGCCTTAAACATACTATGTAGCGAAAGATAACCATGTCATGTTTATTTGGTGCTGGGACGGAACCTAGGGCCCCAGGGCATGCTAGGCAAGCACTCTCCCATCTGAGCAACGCTCCCTAGACCTTTCCATTCTGTCTGAAGGGTCACGAGTCATGTTTTGGGTCCTCTCCTGAACATGCGCTGACGGAGCTCAGGGCTAGCTGGAGCAGGGGTGTCCACGGGCCTCGGGAAGTCTTGAGGTCACCCACGCCCCTTTGCTCGCAGGCCCGGGCCCAGGCGGAGGCCCTCCGAATCAGTGATGTCCATTTCTCTGTCAAGCCAAGTGCCAGCGCCTCCTCGCCCAAGCTGCACTCCAGCGCTGCGGTGCACCGCCTCAAGAAAGACATCCGCCGCTGCCACCGCATGTCCCGCCGCCCCCTGCCACGTCCAGACCCACAGGGGGGCAGCCCTGGCCTGCGCCCACCCATCTCGCCCTTTTCTGAGACCGTGCGCATTATCAACCGCAAGGTGAAGCCCAGGGAGCCCAAACGGAACCGCATCATCCTGAACCTGAAAGTGATTGACAAGGGCCCGGGAGGTGGCAGCACTGCGCAGGGCACCGGGGCGCTTGCCCGCCCCAAAGTCCCCTCGCGGAACCGGGTCATCGGGAAGAGCAAGAAGTTCAGCGAGAGTATGCTCCGCACCCAGATCCGCCACATGAAATTCGGCACCTTCGCGCTCTACAAGCCCCCGCCCGCCCCTCTGGCGCCCTCTACCGTGGGCAAAGCCGACGTGGCCTCCTCGGGGCCTGGGCTGCTCCTGGACCCCCCAGCAGCTGCTCCCTATGATGCACACAGCTCCAGCTCTTCCGGCTGCCCCTCACCCACACTGCAGTCCTCCGACCCAGACGATGCACCCCCCAAGCTACTCCCCGAGACCATGAGCAGGTCTGCTCCCAACTGGCGGGAGCCAGAGGTGCTGGATCTGTCCATCCCTCCTGAGGCAGCTGCCACCGGCCAGCGGGTGCCTCCTGAGGTCACTGCTGCTGCGGCTCAGGCACTTCACACAGCTCTGGAGCCCACAGGTGCCTGCCCCGCCGAGCCTGAGGCTGGGGACTGGCGCCCCGAGATGTCGCCCTGTTCCAATGTAGTTGTCACAGATGTCACCAGCAACCTCCTGACCGTGACCATCAAGGAATTCTGCAGCCCTGAGGATTTCGAGAAGGTGGCTGCTGGCGTGGCAGGTGCTACAGGGGGTGGCGGTGGCATCGGGCCGAGCAAGTGAGGGGCTTCCCCAAGGAGGGGGGCTTTGGGGGGCCTCCTTCCTGGAGTCATTCTTCTGCTCCCACCCCGTCCCTGCCCTCAGACCCGTCTGCCTGTGCTTTGCTTGCCTCAAATGGCTCCGTGTCGACCCAGGGATGGGACTGCTAGTCTTGGACTTGGTCAGAGCCCTGGGAGGGCACAGGGAGGAAGAAACATGTGCGCTCTGGTGTTCCTGGCACTGCCCCGACTGTGCAGGTGGAGCCCACTAGGTGGCTTCTGGGGAACCCCAGAAGCTGGGGTTCACCTCTTCTATCCACACCCACCCTGCCTCTCCTAGCTTGCTTCTTGCTCTGTGTGCAGCATCTGGTCTTGGTGCTATCTTGGCAGCTGCAGGGCCCCCGGGAGATGCCACCTAGAACGGGCAAGTCTCTTGCTACCACCTGGTGCTGAGTGAAGGACGAGGCCGAAGCGGGCCCTTTCCTTGACACCATTGCGGGTGGCAGCAGCTGGGCCAGGGGTCCCCTTCCTTGCTCACCTACCTACATCCGGACTGGGCCTACACCACGTATTGTGCCCCACACGCCCTGTCTCTACCCAAAACCCTCTTTGAAGGTGGAGAGGCTGGCAGACACGGCACCCTGCTGCAACCTCTGGGCATCCGGAAGCCCCTTCCGTTTTCTACCAAAGGTGCTGCAAGAACCTGCTGTGGACACTTCTGGCTGTGCATGTGTGTTTGCCCCTTGGCTTATTCTCGTGTGGATCCATGTGTGTGCTGGGTGCAGGGCCTCAGTCTCCCCTGCAACACCCTTGACGGTTCCTCAGAACAGGGTCGCTGAAGGCGTGGCCTCCCTTGCCTTAGCCAGGCCTGGCCCAGCCCAGCCTGTGTGGTTTGTCGTAGAAGCCACAGGCCTCTCCTTCCAATCCCGGGTTTCTGGGAGACATGGAGCCCCCAGGCCCTTCTTGGGATGGTCATCTTGAAAGTCAGGCTTTCACTGCAGGCATGGCATGGTGGGACTGTGATGGAGGGAGAGTCCGGCTGCTGCCTGGAGACTTGGCAGGGCTAGGGTCCTCGGTCTCTGCCAGCCCTCTGGTTTGATTTTTTACTGCTGAGGCTTCCTAACAGTCTAGCCTGTTGGAAGACTTTGGGTGCCTTGGGCATCTTCTGTTGCCCTCTGCTGCTAGGGAACCGAGGCATCCATGCCAATGGCAGAGACCAAAGCCCCAGATTCAGGCCAGGTGCCAGGAGAGTAGGCAGGGGAGAGACCACAGAGGTGTCTGGGTTCCGCAGAGGGAGGTGCCTGTCCCCTGGAGCACTTAGGCCTACCTTTGGCCGCTGCCTGGGTTCCACTCGCGTGTTGAGTGGCATGTTCCTGTGTGTAGCCTGAGCTGGCTTCTGGTATACACAGCCCTTGGTACCTTGCTCAGAAGCATGGAAGAAGGCAGAACCATGTGGTCTGAGAACGAGTATCTGGTCTTAGGGGAAGACACTCTTCTCATGCCCCCTGCTAGGGTCTACAGCACAGCCCCAACCCTCCTTGCCCCAGGGTATAAAACAGGGGTTCTCACAGGGTTTGAGGGGCCTACTCTTCGGTCCCACCTTGTCCTGTGTAAGCTCCAATACCGTCCAAGTGCCAATTGGCTTTTCCCCCAAATAAGGGCTGGTATTTCGCCCCTGTCCCCAGAGGCGATTTCCCCCTCCCCCTCCCCAGGTGAGCCACCACCTGGGTGCCAGTTACAGGTGTTTGCAGAGACCATAGAAATGTGTTTTCCTGAGAGTCTGTGTCATTTGTGACCTTTTTTTTGTAAAGAAGTTGTGTTTTCAGAGGTGATTTTATGACAGGAAAGTGAAAGAGTTAGTTTTGCAAAAAATAAAAAGAAAAAAAAAGAAAAAATTTTAAAAGTATAAAAAAAAAAAGAAAGAAAAGAAAAAATGGGGAAAAAAAACAACTGTGGGATTCCTAAAAGTGTAAGATGGGGTTGGGGGAGAAAGATATTTAAAGAGAACGTAGTAGCGCAGCGATTGCACAGGTGAGTTGGCGATGTTCGGGTGAGGCGGAGGCCTGAGCTAGCCGGGGGTGCCCTGGAGAAGAAGGCACTGCACAGATCCCCACGTGTGTGTGGTCAGAGGGTGGGGGTCTTCCACACTTCTGGAAGGACTTCCCCTCCTTCCTTGGCAGCGGGCAGGACAAGTCATCTTTGGTGACGTAGGAGCATCCTTCCACTCAACCAGTCCCAAGGGAACTAGCAGGAAGCTCAGGGGACAGGCAGGTGGCGGTCGTCGGACTCCGAGGGGACCGGGCTCCCCGCTGGTGCTTTCTCCCCAGGAAGGCTTCTCATGCATGTGCTTTTACTCCACACCAGCTTGCTGGGTCACACGGTTCCCAGTAGCTTCACAGTCACCCCAAAGACCGGGCGCCTTTGAGTCTCCCTGGTTGAGACAGGGGTGCAGGCTTCAGGAAGTGGCTGGCGGAGCAACGCCATCCGTGCATGCCTCTGTACTCATGCACAAGGCCTCGAGATGCGTGGACGCAGGGAAGGCATGGGATTGCCAGTGAGCGGAACCCTTCCCTCTCCTGCATGGTCTGGAGCAAGAGGCGAGGCCCAGAGGCTGCACAGACAGACCCCTACACAGGCCCGCACCATCGGCCTACTGCAGGCCCCCCCTCCACCCTTGCTGCTTTTCATTTGCCTAATTACCAAGCAGAAGGGGCAGTCTGGTTTGCTTTATTTTTGTATGTGAAATGACCCCTTCTGATGGTCACGTCCCGTAAATGCGCCCTTCCCACCCACACATCAGGAAGTAGGAGTGGGTGAGCCCTGGGTCTTCTTTTTTGAGATGAAAGGTTGAGACTCCTCCCTGTTTTTGGTTCTTGCCCTGATCTCAGTCAGTCCCTCTGAAAAAGCTGTACGGAGTGGCAAGGTCTCAGCACAAAGCACTCTGGGGCCTCCAGCTGCCTAGCCCGTAAAGGAGCAAAGTGAGCCTCTTTCCCCCTCGCTTCTTGGGGGAGGGTGGAATGGAGGGCATGGTCTCATCTCAAGGAGGCTAAGCTATTTCACTGCAGTGATGGAGGCCTCAGAGCCCAGGCTGCCCTGGCCTTTGAAGGGAATGTGGGAACTCGGGCTGGCTGTGGCAGAGGCTGGAGGGCAGGCCCTAGCAAAAACTGTCAGTCAAGGATCTGGGCTTGGGTCAGCCTTCCTGGCCCCTGGGGACCTGAGAGGGCACACCCCTTTCCCTTACTTCCTGTTCAGTTGAATGGCTTTGTTGTTTTGTTTTGTTTTGTTTTGTTTTGTTTTGCACTTCCTTGGTTGGAGAGCCCAGCCTAGTCAGTTCTACCCTTGGGCTCCCATGCACTAGACCAAGGTGGCCTCTCTGGGGCTCCTGCGGTTCAAGGAATCACTTTTTAAAAGATATAGAAAATTTAAGGGGTTTAGTTTTGTTCTGCCTGCTTCTCTTCTTGGTTTAGAAAGCCCAGAAAGTGGGGTTCCCGGACCCCTTCTGACAGTCCCTGAGAGGCAAGAATGGACACCTGGTCAGGTGGGGGCTCAGGACCCCCTTCCCAGCCTCCAGTTCCCTTTGTCCTTAACTGTGGAACTTCAGCTAGGGATGGAGCCAGAGGGTGTGAGGGGCCAGGAGGAAGGAATTAGATACTGGGCACAACTGGGCCAAGGGACGAAGCAGGCATCTTTTTGTTGGTTTTAACTTAAAAACACAAAGGCCTAAAGAAATATGTATCTTATAATTTTTTAATTTTTAAGAAGCTCGTTTGATGAACTGCACGAATGGATTCTATATATATATATATATAAAATATACGTACATAGCTCTATATTTGGGGACGGGCACTGTCTCTTTTCTTTCGCATTTTAAAGATGAAGTATCTTTGCCTTTGTCTGTGGTTCAACCATCCAGCTCCCAGCTGGCTAAACTTTGCCTCCGGTGATTAATGGCGAGAACAAGGTGGTCAAGGTGGCCGATGGACGAAGGGGCAGGGCCCCCAGTCTGCCCTGCCCCTCAGGGGGGACTTCCGGTAGGGAAGACAGCTTATTTTGGATGTGGGTTCGGTAGATTCTGGGCCAGGGGAGGGCGGGCTCGTGCTGATCACTCTGTCTCGTACGTTTTGTTCTGCTGCTCTTCAATATTGTATCGATGCCAGGAAAGGGGGTGAGGCCTCTTTCACCCCCAAATAAATTGTCACATTCCGAAGCTCTGTGCCAGCACCCTGGATGGGGTGTGTCTGCCTCGTTTCTTCTGCTTCCTGTGGCAGCGTCTCTTTTTCTGGTTTTGAAGTGGTCTCTAGCCCACTCTGGCTTCATACTCTGAAATTATAGGTGTGAGCCACTCACCATGCTGGGGCAACATCAGCCCCAGAGCAGGGAGGTGGAGCAGCAGATGAAGGCGCTTGCTGTGAAACTCAGCAACCCAAGTTCAAGCCTCAGAACCTACATGAAAGGGGGCGAAGAGTACCGAACCCCGAAACGTTGTCCTCCGATCTTAACACTCATGACATGACATGCTTACCCTTACGCATACTTCATGCACAGGCATGTGCGCGCGCGCACGCGTGCACACACACACACACACACACTGAGAGGCCGGAGAGATGGCCTAGAGCTTAAGAGCACATAACGTTTGTGCAGAGGACCTGAGTTCAGTTCATAGCACCCAGCTTGTGGGTAGTCCGTAAGTCCAGCTCCAGGGGTATCAGACGCCTCTGGCCTCCAAGGGCACCTGCACCCACACGCACACATCCACCCACAGGCATACACACATGCACCGCTTTTTACAAAGCTTAATTCATGGTGGTAGAATCAGGATAGTGTCGGCGCTGGGCTGTTGTGCTCATTTTTAAACTATTTGGGGGGGGTTCCTTAAACCTCTCCCTTCCAACCCCTCAAACCAAAGCAGGAGAGAGAAGGTTAGCAGGGAGAGGGGTGCAGACCCCTTTACTTCCGGCTGCTTAGTGCTGATGGGTTCTTTGAAGGCCACACCAATCTCCATCAACAGCAAACGCAGCAAAACGGTTTCCCCCAAGCCACTGCTTTGAAACATTTCTCTCCGTCTGTCCAAGCTGCCACACCATCCTGTCTCTGGTCTCTCCAAACTGCCACACACCACACTTTCTCTGTCCAGACTCTCCTATTTATCTTCCTCAGAGTCCTAGACCACACCCCTTCTCATGCTGCAGGAGGCAGGCTGTTACCCAGCTGCCAAAGACCACGCCCCACAATTATCCATTATCAGCTGTGGACAAACTAAAGCCCAAACTAAAGCCCACACTTAGAATTAAAACAAAAACATATTTACATAACGTCACTGAGTCTTTAAAGAAACCAAAACTTCTATTACACTGGGCCAATGCTCAATCTTTGCAAAGCCTTTCCGAACCACTCCTAGAATGAACTGTAGGCCTGCCGGGCACTCAGCCAGGAACACTGAGGCCTGCTGCTCTTGGAAATGTGTCTTGACTAGTAGGCACATGGCCAGAGTTGGGGGTAGGGGCCAGCACCCGCAGAGAGGAAGGGGCCCATGAGGCTGTCACTATAGAGCCTGGAGGCCCATAGAGCCTCGAGCATATGGCTGCCTTTGCTGCTGGTCCCCACAGTTCGGCACCGTGTGGTCAGGGAGTAGGGTCTTTCCCTCTTGGGTGAAGGCAGAGAGCAGCCCTCAGCGCTGTGTTTGGTGGAGCACAGTCCACCATGGGCTTCATCCAGCACATAGCACGAACATCTGCTGGTCAGATGTGAGCACAGTGTCGCTCCCCTATCCCGTCGCACCCCAGTATCATACCTCCCAGTCTCTCCCATGCCTCACCACTCTGCAGCCCCTATGTTTCCTAGCCTGTCCCCTTATCCATGGGCCACGGGTTCTTGCCTGCATCCCAACAGGGGGTCTGGAAACTCCTCTTTAAACTGCTAAGGAGCTTGGTGCCCTCAGCCCGCAAGGTGTCCCCTCCCCCCACTTATCATCCCACTCCAAGGCACGTCCTTCCAGACTGCTTCTGTTGTCCAAGTGACTAGGCTTTCCACCTGACCTCCAGGCTCTGTCCTGGCTGCTCCTGGCACTCACCTGTGCTCTCTTCTGGCCCCTCCTTCGGCTGCTGGTTGTCCTCTCCGGTCTGCTGGCAACTCTGAGCACCCTCTTGGTGCCCTACAGGCCCACCTCACCAAACTATCCGTAACTAACAGGATGGCGATGCTCTCCAACAACCGAGAAACAGACCTGGATTGGCTGTGTCTCCATATTGGCACCTCCAGCGGCCCTGGCAAGACCGACAGGAGGGTGTCTCTGCCCATGACTGGCCATTAGAGACAGGGCTGCAGGGCCCAGGGTGAACGGGAGAACAGGACCTTGCAGAAGCACTGGCAGGAAGTGAGGCTGAGGAGTCCAGCCCTGAAGGCAGTGCTGGCCCTTCGTGGATTTGCTTTGTCATGCACACCTGGCCCACCACCTCACCGTTCCACTTCCGGGAAGCTCTCGGCAGTGGACATTTTGTGTCTTGAAACAGTGTCATGCAGCCCAGGCTGGTCTCAGACTCAGTAGGTAGCTGAGGCTAGCCTTGAACTCCTGATCCTCCTGCTTTTACCTCCCAAGTGCTGGGATTACAGGCATGCACCACCGCACCTGGCATTGGAACACTGTAGACCAGACTGGCCTTGAACTCAGAGATCCACCTACCTCTGCCTCCTGAGTACTGGGATTACAGGTGTGTGTCAGCCTGGTTCACAGAGAGGGAGGGAGGAAAGAAGGAAGGAATCTCAGGTGGTCAGAGATAGAGAAACACACCCAGGGTCAGCTTATGGCCTCTATAAGGAGGTATCTGGAGCACCTTGAGACTGAATTAGACCGAGAGCCCAGGGGGATATTTGTGAATGGGTCAGAAACCAGTACCTGCTGACCCAAGGACCACTGGAGAGAGCCTATAAGTCTGTCCCTGATGCTCCTCCGTCTGAGATAAGTGGTCATCAGTCCTTTTGCCAAGACCACCAGGGACTTGACTTAGGTGTGTAATTCTAGAGGCTCCTGGGAAACTCCAGGGCAGAGTCAGCCCCTTCCATGCCTTGTCCTGTTTCCAGGCTCATCCCTTCCATCCCTTTGAGCAGCTGAGTGATGAGAGCTATGTCAGACAGCTGAGGAGGCAAGGTATTTGGGGGGGGGGGTGCCCCCAGATCTGTCCAGAGAGTGGAGTCTGTTCTGGAGCATAATGACTAGAACCTTCTGTAATAATACAAAATATTAGAGACACTGGGTAGAAAGCCACAGGCATCTTTTTAGGGACTCAAGTTTTTGAGATAGTTAAAAAAAAAAAAAAAAATTCCTGGTGGGCCAGGTGCGGTGGCGCACGCCTGTGATCCCAGCACTCGGGGAGGCAGAGGATTTCTGTGAGTTCAAGGCCAGCCTGGTGTTCAAAGCGAGTCCAGGACAGCCAGAGAAGCCCTGTCTCAAAAAAAAAAAAAAAAAAAAAAAAACCCTGGAGACTGAGGAGCAGGCAGATGCTGTCCTGGGGGCACCCTGTGGGGTGGTGGGGTAGCATTTGTGGGGACAGAACAGAGGCAAGATGTTGGCCTCTGCAGGTCTTCGAGAGCTTGAATCATGCCTCTGTGGGGATGGCCTCAGGGACTGGGCCAGCAGAGGTTCGGAGCAAGGAGGCCTGAGAACTAGGCCCAAGCCACTTCGCAGAGGCAGTGCCAGGGAACTCAGCTCGCTCCTAATTCTGCCAGAAACACACAGAAAGACTCCTCTCTTGGGAAATTGCAACTCTAAACCTTCCCTGGCACAAAGTTAAAGTGTGAATGTGTGTTTCTCACACAAGCCCAAACTCTCAAATTGAGAGATTAATATCAGAAAGAAACCTGGGGTGGGTGACGTCATAGAGCCTGTGGAAGTCGCAGATGATAGACTTGGTAATACCGTGCCCAGCGCACAGGCCACATGGGATTCTGTCAGAAGAAACTGAGATCACAAGCTCAAATGACAATACGCAGCAAAGGCACAAAGACAGACTCACACAACAGTGGATAAAGGATTTGGGACCCAACACTTTTCTATTTGCCGTACAGGGCAGGGGGCTCAGAAGCTCCTGAGCATCAGGCAGGGAAGTGTTCTACCACTGAGCTACATCCCTGGCCCAGTTTGGACACGGGGTCTCACTAAGTTGCTCGGACCAGCCTTGGACTCACTCTGTAATGCCGGCGGGCTTTGGATATGATCCTCCTACCTCCTTACTTGAATTTGAGAACTAGAGTCTACACTGCCAGGCCTGTCTCCCAGGACATTTTAAAATATCGGTTGAAGATTTTAAAACTTAGCATGTCTACATCAAACATCTCCGTAAAATGTTAAGAACTGGCATCACAGGTCATATTATTGGATTAAAAGTTAATATCAGTATCCAGGACACTGTGATGAAATGATAGGCCAACAGGGCAGAGAGCCCAGACATAAATGCTCACTTGTAGAGTCAAATGATTTGCTTACATGCACACATACATACATACATACATTTGTTTATTTAGTTCCATGGGTCCTGGGGAACAAACTTAGGCCCTCAGGCTTGCATGACAAGCACCTTTGCTTTCTGAGCCACTTCACCAATCCTGGTCACATGACTATTTCAAAGGTTCCTAAAATAGCCAATGGCAGAAGAGCAATCTTTTCCGTTTTGAGACGGGCTGGCCTCAAACTTGCTGTGTAAGCCAAAGATGACTTTGAACTCCTGTATACCACACCTGGTTTATGTGCTGGCTGGGGATGGAACCGAGGGACTCACGCATGGTAGGCAAGTGCTCTGCCAACTGAGCCTCATGCCCAGCCACCATCTTTCCAGTGAATGAAAGTGTCTGGAAAAGAACAGAATTGGATTTTTAAGAGATAGACATGCAGTGTGGCAGGAAAGATTTTTAAGGAGCTCCGGTTGGCACAGACAGCCAATGCATGGTATTTAGATGAAATATTTAAGATCTTGAGATGGCTCAGCTGCCAAGAGTGCTGGCTGCTCTTGCAGAGTCCCCAAGTTTGGTTCCTAGCACCTTCAAGGTGACTCACAACCATCCAGAGCTCCAGTTCCAGGGGATCTGGTGCCCTCTTTTGGCCTCCTAGGGCACTGCACACACATGATACACATACATGAAAACAAAACATTCCCAACACAGTATTAACTTTTTAAAAAATACTATTGACAGTAAAATAACAACCCATGAATGGGG